TAAGGTATCAGTCAATAGCACGACAATGTGAGACCTGTATCCGATAGTAAAAATTAGATTTAATTTCTAAAAACAGCGACAACGCTTTAGTGAATTAATTAGATTTTATTGGTTTTTAAAAAGTGTTTCGAACTCGTAATTGAGTGAGTGACAACAAAGCATTTACAGTTCAGAAACATAACACGGGCTGCGAGAGAGTGAGCAGTGTTTTAAAATGTTTTGAAAATCAAAATACAAACGTCAAAAATTTATTGAGTCCCAGAGGTACAACTGGAAATCACATTTCGGTCTCGCTTCTATTTGACATTTTATTGCTAAAATAATTTTAATTATTGTTTTTAATTCCCTTTTCATTCAAATATAGTATGATTAGCCTTAGATTTAGATAGCATCAATAGGTTTCGATAAGATTGATTATTGGTTCCTGTGGATTTGATATATTTTAAAACTACATCAGATTTCTTACACTTGTGGAATAGCCCTATCAATGAGCCTTATATTACATGTTTCTATCTCATTTTATTTTATGACCCTATCTATTTCTTGCAGAGAAAATGTCGATTGTGGATGTCAAAGAGCAGTGGAAGCTGATGGGAGATGCTAGAGCTAAACGTGCAGAGCAGTCTGCTCTGAAGTCTGATCTGTCAGGCATACAAACTCGGGCTGTTAATAAAAGAAAAGGGATGCGGGAAAATCGTCTACAGCTACCTCGATGCCCCCACCTTATCTGTTGACCCTTCAGGCAGTCCTCAATAAGGTCCTCAAAAAAGGGCCAAACCTCTAATGGAGATTCTATGAGCAAAGTCGATATGGCTATTTACACCTTGATGCGGGAAACTGGCGGTAGTAGCCAACAGTCTCAATCTTTTCTGAATTTAAATTCTGATCGGGTAGTTTTGATGGCCTGAAATTCCTCTTTGAGCACTTGAATTCCACTGAAGATGTTAACGAAGCCAAGACCATTGGTTCTCAACAGTTGATCCAGAACCTGAGTTCCTACCTGATGAGGAGTGTTATTCTAGCCCAGACTTCGTTTGAAGTTGGGGATACATCCGACCAGGCTGAAAATTAGTTGTCCAAGGATTTGACTAAGGCAAAAGACGATCTTAAAGTCCAGATCAATAAGGTGGAGGAATTGACCAAACAGCTGAAGAAGATGATCAAGAAGAAATATGACGCTGACACTACTATAGTTGAAGTGATCCACGATATTGAGGCATCTCGGGAAACCAACGAGAAGTTGGAAAAATATCAGAAGGATGCCCGGGTAGATCTTCTCGCAGCTGGTGATGAGGCTTTTGATAGGGCCAAAGCTTAAGCTTTATGCCTTCACCCTGGTCTGAATGTAGACAAGATGGACTTTTTTAAGAATGTTGTGAAAGGCCGCTTGGTGGAGATGGATGTTAGCCCCCATAGGAGGAAATTGTCGATAAAGATCAGCCCGCCTCCAATCAAAACGAAAACCACGTTGGTGTTTAAATTTTGTTCTAGTTGTTAGTCATCCATGTGAGGATGCATTTTGTAATTGTTTTGGATTTTGTTTAAGCCTTGTATGGCACCATACACTCTTTTCCTTTTTTGGGGTTTTATGAATGTGTTTTCTTGCTTTATGTCATTTTCATAATGTCTTCTTTAGGCTATTTTCACAGGTTCCCGCCATGCTTATATGATCCCCCCAAGCACAAGACTTGTGTAACAGGTAGAAGCGCTTTGTACGAAAAGCCATCTTGTTTGAAATACCTAAAAAATACGTGATTTATAAACGGGCTTTAAATTTTTTGTTCAAGCCCTACAATTTTGTGGGCTTTTTTGGCCCATCCTGGTTGGCCCGACCCACTTTGCCAACTCTACTCAGATGCCACAACTAACTTTGTTTATGATCTACCACTGCTTGTAGGCATTGAACTTATGTGGATCTGATCATGGTCTTGAAGGTCATATTATTAGAGAAAGGAGATCTCAAGACTAATTGTTGTTAGCATCAAATAATTTAAAAGTCTCATACTTCATGATCACTAAGGATCCTTTTTCAATTAGTTGCCAACACTTGAGAGGTTTCATTTCATGCTGGGAACATATAACACATCTTCAGTTATGGTTGACTTGCCATTCCGCCTTTTGATGACCATGTTGCTTGCTCATTCTGCTTGCAAAGAGATACTATAAGCTAATGTGATCTTGCTTCTCGTTGTGTCATCAAAGTTTTTCAGTCAAGCCTTATTACCAGTCATATGATTGGAATAACCTGTGTCCAAGAACCAAGTATTAAAATCAGTGTGATCATCTGAAACCACAGCCATAAGCATCATTGTTCCTGAATCATTTGATTCATCATATGCAAGATTTGCTCCATCACCATATTTATCCTTTGCATACCCTTTCCCTTTGTTGTACCAGGAGTTCTTGGCCATATGACCCCACTACACACCTTTCTTATCAGGTTTTCTTTATGATAGGAAGTTTCTCCTCCTCTCTTGGAGGATTCAGGCAAACTCTCATTATTCTTCAATATTTGAAAGTGGGGCCAAGACTCTTTCTTGTTATAACCTTTGTCGAATTTACCTGTAACCTTTCTAGAGCCACCATGTTTCTTCCATGTTTGAGCTTGTAAGGCCTATATTGATTCTTGAACACATATTCTCTCCACATTCCTCAACTCATGAACATTCAAGGAGCCAAGCATATCTTCCAACTTCAATATGGCCACGTTGCTCGCTTCTTGTATGGCCACGATAACATGATCAAAATGAGATGTTAGTGTTCTCATTACATTCTCAACAATCATCTTGTCAGGCATTGTTTCACCACAAACCTTCATCAAATGGACAAGATTTTGAACCTTGGACACGTAGCCTGTGATTTTCTCATCTTCATTCATCTGCACTAATTCATGTTGTCTTCTTAAAGCTTATAGATTGACACCCTTAACCTTCTCACACCTTTTATAATATTTGACAAGAATGTCCCTTGCTTCTTTTGTCGATTCAGCATGAGAGATTCGATCAAAATTTGCTTCATCAACTGTGAGTTGGATGCAAAATGAAGTCTTACAATCCTTTTTCTTCGCATCTTTATGACTCGTCTTCCGAACTTCAGTCGCATGTGCTACAAGCTCCGAAACACCATTGAGGACAACTTCAAGAGTTTCTTGAAATCCAAACAAGGACTTCATTTGTTTGTGCCATCGGTCCTAATTATTGCCATCAAGAATTCGAAGATAGTTGAGAATTTCATTGCTACCATTCATCGTTGCAACATATGTGAATCACAATTCCTGAAAACATGACTATCAATGCACAAAACCAAAGAGCTCTAGATACCAAGTTAGTGCAAGCACAACTACACTTGGATTAAGAGGAAATGATAATTGAATGCGAGAAAGTTCTTTTTAATGTTTTATTGATAATAGTTGATAAATAATCAATTGGTATGAACATTTATATACTCCATCCGTTTCAAAATGACTTTCATTTTAACAAATAAATTTTATTTCAAAATGACTGTCATTTTTATTTTTCAATATAGTAACGATTATTATTTTTTCAATTGTGTCATTTACTTTTTACTTTCTACGGTACTTCCAATGCATTAATAGGATTAATTTTGTAAAAGTATAATATTTTATTATAACATCATTACATTCCTTAATTTGTGTCCAAAAACCTTAAACGACAATCATTTTGAAACGGAGGGAGTACAACAAATTAATTACTTGTGTATCAAGTAACCGACTAGTAACAAACCAACTCACTAACTCCTATAATGAGATTATATTACAACATACATCACTTGAGTGAGAGTGTTGTCTTGTGCTAAGAGTATTATTGAAGGTTGTTGCATGTGAAAATTGATCTGGCTCAGACGTGGTTTTGTTTCAACAATTTACACATGATTTTATTTTTAATAGTAACTTTTTTTTGTCACGTTAATAATTATAATTGACATATATATTTTTATATGGTTTCAAAATACGGTATTACTAATGTCTAGACCTTTTTAAGAAAAAGAGTTGGCGTGGTTTAGTGCTTGCTCCACTTTATACTAATTTTTGCCACAGCTAGACTTCAAAATATAGAAAAGAGACTATTGCTTTTACCTTTCCTATGTTAACCAGTCGACATGTTTTTCTCCCTTTGTCTGTACTCGTTAATTTTTTAAGTGTGTTGGTCGATGTTCACATCTTTTGACCTTACTGTCTCTACCATGTGCAATTTGGCCACTTTGAAAATATTCCACTATACCATGTGCTTTGTCTCCTTCAATCAAAGTTTAATTATATCAATGAAAATCATATTAGGAGACACTACACCGTCTTGGTGCAAGGGTTGAAAAAACACTTGCAAGAATTTTAGTGACACAACACACCTCTAGCATGAGATGATGAAATGAGTAAATTCCAAAAGAAAAGTGCAGTTTTCACACGTCTACTATATTAACATCTTGTGTAGTACTATGACAAAAGAAAATATCTTAACGTAAACATACAAATACAACTAAAAGAAAAAAGATATTTTTTTACACAATTTTATTTTGATGCAGGAAACAATGCACACGTAAATAAAATTAGAATATATTTTTTTACACAATTTTATTTTGATGCAGGAAATAGTGCACACGTAAATAAAATTAGAATCAGTTTTCAAAACAAAGTATTAAATCCAGTAAAAAAAGAAAAACTAAAACAAATAAAGTACTACGGAATTGAAGAATAACTACAGTGTAGTGGTAGTTGAAATATTTGATTGGGAAATAAATAAAAAAGCACCAACATGCGAAGATTTGTGCGGTGGAAACTAAAAACATTCTCATTTTTTGTTAAATCCTTTAGATCTCTTGAGATCTAAAAAGATTATTAACATATCCAGCACTAAACTATAATTAATAATAACTTTATAAAACTTGATTAAAGAAAAAAAGACAATTAAAAAGATAATAATCGAAAAACAGAAGAAAGGGAAAGAGTTATTCCCATTCCCAATTCTCATGATTTGGTTTCTCATTCACACGCACCCTCTCGGGGCAAACCCGACCCGAGAACCCGCGAGATCATAAACAACCCGAAACCCTTGCTGCTGGATGTTACCGATGATGGACAAACCACTCATTGTTCCGGCGAAAGCAAAGCAGAAGCTCCCACTGTTATCAACCGGAATCAAGTAATTAGTAGCTGGAAGCGACACGTCAGCACCTCGGAAATGAAGCACCACCGTCGGGACCTTCACCTCCGTTAAACCAGACAAATCAAAGCAGGTATCAAACAGCGAGAACTCCGGCGCCTTCTTCAGATGCGAAGCACCAAGCCTGAAAGCATCTCTTAAAGCAATGTATGCAGGACGAGTCAATCGCGTAACTGAAGTGCCGGAATCGATTATAACTCCGCCGTTACCGGCGGGATCGAGCTTGAAGAGAGAAGCGGAGACGCCGCGAACGGATGCACCACCAACGCTGATTCCGAGAAGTTCGATATAATAGAAAGTATCGAGTTTAGGGTTTTTGATGAGTGGAGTAAACCGGGCGGTTCGTGAAATGGCGGAATCGCCGAAAACCATGGAGGAGGGTTTAGCAGAAGCGGAGCGGTCGACAAGACAATAAGAGAATTTCTGATTAAAGCGGCGACCGGTTTGAACCGGGAAAGATAATCTTCCTCTCCCAAGTCCCAATAAACCAGCAGCACCAACGAATAGACCTTCATTATCATGACCACATCCCAAAGCCACGCGCGTCACACGCGTCTTCCGAAACGTCAGCGTCTCGGTTGAGAAATCACCGAAAGTGAAAGAACCATCACCGTAAGAAACCTGATACTGACAAACTTTGTTTTTATTGTTGCACCCGGCGGAGTCGAGTCTCCGGCAGAGAGGAGCACCGCATGGGATTCCGGCGAAGGTGTGTGATTTTGTTGGATCGAAAACTGGATCTGCTTGAGAGTAGCATTTACGGCATGGAGCGCATTGAAGCCAAACGACGTCACTTCCGGTGTCGAGGACCATGAAAACGTATTTTGCTGGTGTGCCTACGCCTATGCGGGTGAAATACTCGCCGCTGCCTTGGGAAAGACCAGAGACGATGGAGCTGCTGAAACCGGGGGTGGATCTAAGGGGACGAGACTGGTTGGGAGATGTGGCGAGAGCGAAGGATTGGACTCTGGCGGCGTCTCTTTGGAGGCGGAGGTGGAAGAGTTGTTGAGGTGTTTTGTTGGAGGAGAGTGAGTCTACGTGGTGTAGTTGAAGGGAGAGAGGTTGTGAGTGGTCGGAGAGAAGTTCTTCCTGTGAGTGGTCGGAGAGAAATTGTTCTGGCCATGAGAGAGTTGAAGGGTTTGGGAGAGAGTTAATAGTTAGAGTTTGGGTTTGGAAGCGAGTGGTGGTGGTGGTTGATGAGAGTGTGAAGGAGATAGCTAATAATAGGAAGAGAAGGGTTTTTTTGTTGTTGTTTTCTTCCATTGTGGTTACCGGTGAGTAGAGAGAAAAGAGGTATAGTAGAAATGGTGGTGGGAGAGAGTGGAATAAATAAGTAATAATTGAGTGAGATGAGAGTGTGGTTGGGTGCGGGGGGAAGCGGTATGAGTTGATGAGAGTGTGTGTGGGGTGGGGGTGGCTGAGTCAGTGCAGTGATTGTTGTCTAACTATATTAGATTGGATTTCCCGTGTCAAAATGAATTACTATTGTTATTGTTTCTAGTTGGGTAAGGTTGGTGTTGTTTGTTGGGGTAGAGCTGGATATCATTAGTACTAATTGCTTTGCCTTTATTGTTATGCTAGATAGTAGTAAGTTATGGAGAATCTTTCATTTCTTCTCGCAATAAATTGTTTCTTACCTCTAGGGGTAATAACAACCAAGTGCCCAATGTCCATTTGCTACTACAATGTCGTCAATGCCCAATGCATTTACTCTTACTTTCTTTCTCTCTCAAAATAATAATTCTTTAAGATTATTATCCAAATTTAAAAACTTTATTATAAATTAATAAATATAACATTTTTTAAATTATCTTTAATTATTATTAGTTGTTATATATTCAATATTGTCATAATTGAAAAGAGTTTATTTTAAAACAACTTTTATTATTAGAAAGATATTTACTTTGAAACAAATGAAGTATTAAAATTTCTACACACGATGAAATAAATAGAAAAAGAAATATTGATCATGTAATTAATTTTCTGGTCCAGGATAAGAAGGAAAATTGGTCCTCATCATAACTAATGCTAATACTAATATGGAAACAACAGTAATACATTTTTATGTGGAATTTGACATAAGGCATCTTGCCATCCTTACAACAAATCTAATATCTCCTCTGGTATACTATGTCAAATAGATTAGTTTTTCTATTAAATGTTGATACATATTTGTCTCAATCAAGATGTCTTCTTCTTCGAATTTGCTTCCCTTTATTACTTTGCATCCAAATATCTCAATTTTTTTAAAGAAGATTCATTGTATATTTTCTTGGACATCTTTGTTCGTGTTAATTTCGTTCCCAAAAAGTATTCGTGTTATCTTAAATCTTTGATTTCAAATTTTCTAGCCAAGAAACCCTTCGAGTGCTCAATTTGCTATTTATCATTCAAAGTTATTGCAATGTCATTGACATATAGTTATATAGGTTTTTATTTAATGTTAGAATAAATATGGTACGATCTTTTTGACAATGAGTGAATCAAATTTCACTTGATAACTTGAATTAATTAATATGTCAAAACAAGTTTCCGGAGATTGTTTGTGGCTATACAATGGTTTTTGAAGTATGCGTACTTTGTCTATAGTGTTAGAAGATTATAGTCTTAACGTGATATGTATATATACTTTCTCTTCTAATACACTATTCAACCATTAATGTTTCATATCCAATTGACATAGTAACTATTTCAAATTTCCATCCAAACACAAGATGATTCCAAGTGAATGGGATTTAGTCATTGGAGCAAAAGTTTTTTCATGGTCAAAACTATATGCTCAGTGAGCCCTTTCACCACTAACCTAGATATTTCCTATTAATGTTTCCATTTACATTAGATTTGATAGAGAGTATTCACTTGCATCCAATATGTTCATTCCCTTTTGGTAGAGTGGTAATCTTCTAAGTCTCATTCTTAGTCAAAGTTTGAGTTTCTTTATTTACTCATTCGATTCAATTCATATGTTGGATTGCTTCTTGAATGTTTCTATGTATAGTAGCGTTGTCAACAGATGATGCAAATGACTTGTAATCCTGTGGCAACTTTTTATAAGACACATATCTTTCAATAACGTGGTGGTTGAAATTCTCACCCTGTTTCATAAGGCTATAGAAATTTCCAGATACATATATAGTATTATTATCAACAAATTTAAAATTGGAAAAAGGAATACCTTAAGGAATTTTATCTTCTGAACTTTGATTAGATTCATAATGTGACGTCAGTTAAATGATTGATTTATCTTCTGTTGAGTATTTCTTATTGAATAAACCTTCCATATTTGGTATTTTTCTTAAGTTCTTCGTGTAAATTATGGTTTCCTTAGATCGAAATGGCCTTGAACTAGTTTCCCATGAAGGATCCAATATGTATCCTTTGAGTGGCCTGATTTTTTTGGCAATGTTCACGCCAAGGAAGGTTTTTTTGATACATCGATCAAGCTTGAGTTCTTTTACCATTAAGGTTGAATATTCTACAAGTGGGGTAGAAATAAAGCTTCATTAAATTAATTTTCTTATACTTCATTTTTTTTCTTACCTCTGAGCATACTTCTCAGAGGTCGAGAAATGATTTGGTGTTGTCAATGATCATTCAATGTACTTCATTAAGGTCCTTGATGAGACCAGATAAGAAATTGTAGATTTTTTCCTTATTTTCAAGTCTTTATAATGTTTCTTATCATCTCATTATTGTCAGTGCTTGCTAAAAAAATTTAAATACTCAGTGATAGAGTGTTCTCTTTGTCAAAGACCATGGAGAATAATTTTGATATCAATGATGGTAGAGATGTCGTCTTTGTTGGAATAAGTTTCTTTCACAACCTCCAACATTTCTTTATTTTTGTTGTAGTATAGAAATTTTTCTCAATTTCATTGTTCATTGTATTGAGAAACCAAGACATGACAAGGTTGTTCTCCAACACCCATTTTTCACGATTAGATTATCCTTTTGTAGGTTTTTCACTTCCGATGATATATCCCTATTTCCTTTTTTATAAAGAGCTACATTGATCTTTTCTATTGAATAAAATTCTAATCATTCAATTTATGACTAGTGATAAAAAAGCATAGATGATTTGTTCTTTCAATGGGAATCAGTTATAGTTGCGCCAGTCTCCACTATGAAGGAAGAGGATTTGGGAAATGAAAATGTGATATAATTAATGTAAAGGGCCACATATGGTTCAAATATGACTATAATACCATACAGAAAAGTGAAGACAACATTCACTCAATTGATTTTAAATGATGCATCAGAGAAAATAAATAAAAATATTAATCTTTATAAGAAAATAATATAATATATTTTTCTTTAACAAGTAAATAAATATAAATCTGATTCATATTAATTTTAATTATAAGAGTTATACTATTTGTCGCCACTTTTCTGTGCTCAATTGTGACGGTGATGATATGTAAAGAAATGTAGCAGTAAAGATTTGAGATTAAGCCATCAATTGACTTATCTCAACATAATGAAGTCGCCACCGCACTTTATTGTTTCCAAAGGAAAATGGGAAAAAACCGAACAAAACCCAAAAAGATCATAGATCGAGGTACGGGGGTTGGTTATGTAAAGAGAATGTATTAACACCCTAAGCATCAACGGTACTCCGTAGGATCCACTTTGTTTGGTTTCTTTTAAAAGGAGTGTTATGTAGAGGCTTACTTGCTAAAGGGAAAGTATGAATAAGTATTTGTAAACAAAAGAAAATGAAATGTTTTTTATTATTTTTGTTGCTCTCCTTGGGTCGTAAGACTTAGTGCCTACGTACTCCCTCGTGCAATGGGAAAATAAGAGCACCGTAGTTCGGCTAGAAAATACTTGTATGTTGGTTGATTTTAAACAAGGAGACAAGTCGTCATTGTTAGGAGAGAAATCTCGACTAACACCCACAAGGTGTGAGAAAGATGGACCATACGTCAGCAAGAGTGAGGATTTGAGGAAGCCTCTAGTACTCAAGTAGAAAAGTCGACACCTTTATAACCATGGGGATAGGAGAATGTTGCTCGACTATCAATGAATCATGTCTCACCTTGAAAAAAGTTTTGAAGGGTAAAAGTGCTCGAGCGCACAAAAGAGTTTGAATGAGTTGAAGTGTTTTTGTTAATTTCGAAAGATGTCAAAGTATGATTAAGTGAATTGAAGTTTGTTTAAAGAAAAGAAGTTTTAAAAGAAAAGGCACTCGACAAGATCTAGGTTTATTATGAAAGCGGTTCGATTTTTATAAACAAAGAAGGTTTTGGAAAAAAGATGAGAAGGTTTTGGAAAAAAGATGAGAAGGTTTTGAAAATTAAAGAAGATGGGAGAAGATGAAGGGACTATCCTAAAGCATAAGGTAAAAGCTAAGGAAGAGAATCGTCTAACCAACAAGAAGTCAATACTTGACATTATGGGTCAAGATAGAAATCCCGTTCTTTGGATTGAAACCAAGCAAGCAAAGATACTAGAACTCTTTAGAGACCAAGCTTCAAGTGTATTAAGTCTTCAAAAAAATTGGGCAGAGTAACGGCTGTATACAGGTGAATTTCATACTACAAACAAAGTATGTAATCACAATAACCTGCACACAAAACAAACAAATAACCCAATGTCTTAAGGTAAACCTCAAGAGCTCCAGACAAAATATCCATTAAGGTCACAAGGTCTCCAACATAAGTCAAGGTCTATAATCCTAAGTCCAAGAAGTCCAATACTCCATAATGCCAAGAATAGTAACCAAGTAGTCCAAGTATCATTAATGCTTTTATGGTTCATGTTGATTATTAAGTGTCTTTAAAAGGAAAAGAAAAGCTCAAGTGAACAAAATAAAAATGACATAAAAGTAAATGCTCAAGTGAGCAAAGATAAAAATAGCATGAAATGTAAATGCAAAAAGTAAATGGTACATAAAGCATAAAAATAAAAGCATAAAGTAAAGTCAATAGTTAGAGATTAATGGTTAGTTGGATGACCATCTTGAAACTTGCATTTGGAACTCATTAGAGGATTGGTAGAACCAAAGCCTCCACACAACAAGTTGCATTTGCTTTTTGTCAAGTATATCATCCATTTTGGAATCCTCAAAAGTAACATTTAATGATCAACAATCTTTAAGTGATCCGCGTTGACCAAAAGTGATGTAGATCCATTAGAGGATTGGTAGAACCAAAGCCTCCACACAATGAATCTCAAGGTTATTGGATCAAAGAGATCAAATTAATATACTTGGGCTTGCAAACATAGGTTTGGGCCACGAATGATCATTTATTCGAATCGGG